TGGGGTGCCTGCACAGGAAACAAGCTCCTCGCAATAAAGAAAGATGTAAAGAAATGGGAATCCTCTTCTAGACCCTCCCGAAAAGAAGAAACCCTCCTAACCCGGCTTCGAATTGGCCACTCCCGACTCACCATAGATTCCTCCTTGAAAGAACTCCTAAACCTATATGTCCACTCTGTAAAACTACCATCACAATATCCCACATCCTAATAGATTGTCCTTTATACACCTCTAAAAGAACCCTCCATCAGATTCCCAAAGACCTCCAATCCATACTAAGCAACAAATCACCATCAATAAACAAAATTTTTAACTTCTTAACAGACATCCAACTAATTGATAAAATCTAATATCCCATCCCGTCAACTATTGTTTCCTTTGCTGGTTCCCCATGTTGGCGGTGTGGTGCGGCTGACTTCTGGCGACGCCCGTGCGGGACCTCGGGTGCTGGTCGGTCTGGGGCTGGATTGAGGGGTGCCTCCCGGGACTCTGAGGTCAAGGAATCTCCAGCGAGCTTAGAGGTGTCGATGGTGACTAGACACCGACCCCTCCTCGATAAAGTCCTGCGCGCAGTATTAAGACTAAAAGCATCAGTAGCGAGAGATCCGTGGGGTTCCGTTCTTTCCAGGCCTGGGGCTGCCACTGCGCCTGGGTCTGCGGGGGCCTTGCTCTGAAGGGGCCGGGCTGCGCCGTTGACTTGCAAAGATTCAAGGCTTAATGACCAATAAGGTTGCAGCCTTTAATTTATTTATTTAAAAAAAGGATAGGAAGGCAGTCGTAGGAGGACAACATGCATACAACTGTCTGGCTTTCAAGCAATCTCTACCAACGTATTTCTGCCTTACGTGTGTGTTATTAAATATTGTATTATTATGACAGTAATGTAAAATAACTTTATTTAATGGAGCCAATAAACAAAATAGTAACCAATCTGGAATCTCCATCTCCAATGGATTTGGCACCTACTTATAAACTGTGCTACTTGTTTGAACATAAGACCATTTTAGGGGATGATAGGTTAAACGATTTAACACGGGCGTTAAGTTCGAGTACGGCCATCGTTTCTCATCGGCCAGGTCCAAAAATGGGAAAAGGCAGCTCCGACGAAATGTATAATAACCTATGTCGAAATGGAATAAACAAGGGCCCATCGGACAAGTTTTGAAGTTTTGATTGAAGCCCGACAAATGCACACGGCGATGAGTAATAGGCCGGAATGTAAACGATGAAAGGCCGAAATTACAAGTTTGAAATCCTGGATGTGATAATGGGTCTTCGTGATAGGCCAGGACCGGACGGGAATTACACGGTCATCGAAAAATATTTTCGGCCCCTTTTTCGCAAGGTTCCTTGACAGCCTTTTCCGGCTCCCGACTCCTTTTTAACTCCAACAAACAAAATAATTGCAAATTTTTTTTTTACTTTTATGAATCACCCCTTCAAGGATTTTAGGGAGAGCACGACTCGGACTTTTCCGCTGGAACTGTTTGCCTTGACTTTCCCAGTAATGACTACTGAGATGAAACCAAAAAACAAACAACGATTCAGCAATAAATTATAAATTTTAACTTTATTTACCTCGAATTGTTAACGAAGTAAAAACAGTACAACAATCTTGTCGCAAAATGGTGGTTAAACCAACTACAGTTTTGTAAAAGAACCATGATTGCTGAAATTCAAATTTGAACCAGATTCCTAGATATGTTGTCTGGAACTGTCGAAACCTGTCCCTCGATTGATATTTTGTGTGACATCAAAGGCCGGCGTTTAGTAAAGAGGATGAGGCTAATTTTAAAGATGTTGATTTTTCAACAGAACACCAAGAGGAGCAGTAGAGCATCGACATATAATTGGCTAAACGTTTAGAAAAATGGAGAACACGCTGCGAAACAGTATTGACCCTTGTGGAACACCTGAGCAAAAGCCAGGATATGATGTCCGGTACCGTGCGTGAATTCGAAGTTCTGTAGTGGGGGATGATGACCCACCAGAGCTTTCTCGTGGAAAACATTATTTCGAACAATTAATTAAGGCTTTCAGTTGAGATAAAAAAGTCAATGGCACGAGCGGGATTCGAACCCACGATCTTCGGCTTGATACGCCGCTGCTCTACCACTTGAGCTATTCTCGACGACAAAAAAATAAACAACACATTTGCACATTTTGGAGATAATTATAAAAATATAGATAGATAATAAAGAGCATAAATTGTAAAATTAAAACTAAAAAAGTAAAATAAAAAGAGAGAATGTGAGAGAGATTAAAAAGTTTTTCAAAGACAGATATACATATAAAGAAAGGATAAAAATAAATATATAAATGAAAACAGGTATAAAAAGAGTTTGTATGGGGAGAAGAGGCCGATGAAGAAAGGAAAGGGATAAATTATACTATAGATAAATAAGGAGAGCATCAAGTGTAAAATTGGAACTAAACAGGTGAGAGAAAAAGAGAGAGTGTGAGAAAAGAAAGGGGATAATTCTAGAAATATAGTTAGATAAGGAGAGATTAAAACAAAATTGAAAGTAAAAAAGTGAGATAGAAAGAGAGAGATTAATGTTGCAGCAATTTGGTCAAATTGGACCGCTCTTACATCCAACAACTAGATAGAGAAAAAGAGGGAGAAACTCTCTCAAAAGGTGTTTTTCATCAAGAATGCTGTCAATGGGTGTCCCTCGAAGAATCTGACTTGTAGAAAAGGGGTCATCCTCACCCGATCAAGAACAGGCACAGTTGTCGGTGTTGACACAAGGACACTTTTGGGCCAAAGCCCGCATATGTGTCTTGCTTGCAGAGAACAATTGCTCGATGAGTCCCACCTAATTGAAGGGTGCAATTTGTTGGCTCAATATGGATTGCATGTAGGAATGCCAATATGAGAATTGTGCTTAAGCAGGGCAGCGAATACGATCACCTCTTCTGCTTCATGAAGAAAACAAGGTTGTTTTACTGTGTAGAGAGATGATAATTTTCCATACCTAGTTTGTTGAGAGTGAATGTATTTATTAGCGTGAATGTGAGAGTCGATGAATATTGAGTACCCCATTGACCCTCAATTAGGTTAGTTATGTAAAAGGTGAAAAGGGTGATGGAATATCCCTAAGTGAATGGTATGTAAATAGGAAAGAAGGTATTTAAGAATGAGAGAGAGTGCATGGATTTGGATTTAGGAACCTGACCTAGTTGTTGAGCAATCATCACCAAGATAGGTCCCCAAGGGGGATCCTCATCCACTTAAGGATTGGCCATGCAGAACGGGTGCTCGACATCCCACCTAATTGAAGGGTGCAATTTGTTGGCTCAATATGGATTGCGTGTAGGAATGTCACCCTATTTGAGAATTGTGCTTGAGTGTTTGTGTGCCCTGTTCCAATTCTTGTAGGAAATGGGGTCGTTCTATTGTATGTAGTAATAACAGTTCTGAACACCTACTCTTACCTTCTTGCTCTTATTACACATTCTAAACTTCTCAGCATGCTCATTAATAAGGCTTTAACCACTTCTTGAGTAATTTCATCCCAAATCTCAACCAATGTAACTTTCAGCTCAGCTAAGGCTTTCTTCGTTTTACCCGTCTGAGCTCGTCCCAAAAGTACTCAATGTGGTTCAAATCAGGAATTCGGGCTGGGTGTCTTAGTTTGAAATGTTGACATCTCAAAAGGCTCAAGGCATAGCACTTATGGCCACAGTTAGGGCTTGCGTTATCTTGCATAAACAAAAATTGTTCGCCAATAAACAGAGCACAAAATGACACCACATATTCCACAGGAATTTCTGCCACATAGATTTCTGCATTAAGTGGTGTCCTATTAAAACTGAGCAACTAGGTTTTTGCCTCAAAAGAAATTCCATTCCACACCATAACTGAAGCAGTTCTTCCGGCAATGTTGCATCGGCTGTAGAGCTCTAATAAAATTGAAGATGTCCATCTGGTGAAAAAGAGAAAACTGGGACTCATCTGAAAACATAACAGTCCTTCATTACTGTTTCCGACCAATATCGGTGTCTCTTGCAAACAAGCGGTCCCGAAGATGGTCTCTGGTAAGCATTGCTGGCCTTCTGGGATGTAAATTCACTTCTACAAGTCTCCTTCCTATTGTTTCAGCGCTCACAGACACATCCCGCAGTTTGAAATCTTTGAAAGTTTCGCACAGTTTCAGTAGTGAAAAAACAATGTCTCAGAGTGTGAAATCTGAAAAATCGGTCATCACCTGGTCCCTAGGCTCTTGGGCTCCGAGTGTATCTTGCAATCTCAGAGTACCATTGAACGCCTGACAACCGTCGTTTTAGGCAAATCTAAAATTCTTGCAGCTTAACACTTCTTCCATCCTCAACGAGTGCAATGGCACAGGCAATTTGATCACTAATTATGGTCATTTTTGTAATCGTTTTGTTTTCTACCACCAGCACGATACTGAATAAAGACGTTTCTAAAAGATTAAATGCCCTCATTGATGATTTACATTGTGGAAATTGTAAATAAAATATGAATTAATCAGTTTTGCCTCAAAATCAGCAACACAAAAACAAATACTTTCTGTCTAATTATAATTATTAAATCATTTTTAAAATAGTAAAACAAAAAATATGGCCAAAAACTTGTCAAATTATAAAAAGAAATCAAAATTTCATAGTGTGCCACTTTTTTGTGGAGCAGTGTATACAGAAGAAGATAGATGTATAAGGATGTTAAACTTTTTTTTAATACTTCAAGGAGAAAAATATTTATGAAATCATTAAATATATAGAAAATAAGTTATATGTTCATTGTACAACATAATGATAGTCCTTTGATTCTAAGACAACTTACAAAAATGTGTAAGTATTGACTTCAACAATTCACATATTTTACTCTCTGTTAATTAATTTGATTAAATTTAAAACCTATATATTTATTTTTTAAATATTTACACAATTATAAAATAAAAAAAATAATGACAATAAAGAAACAATGAAAATCCTGAAATGTAATCCAAATAAATGAAATTTGAATAGCTTCGCTGTTTATTTACAATTTCTCAAATAATCATTACTTTTTTATAAAGTTTTCTTTTAAAAGAAAAAAAATCATGCTCATTCGATCCCTGGAGGTGCAGGCACGTTGAACACCCTTCTTGGCACATCATCAACCGGTTCTTCTTTAATATCAATAGTCAAATCAGGAGGTGGTGACACCTGTATATAAAAAATTTAGTATAACATTCTTTTTTCCAAATAAAATAAAATCTGAAATTATTAAGTTTACAGGTTCTTCTTTAATGTGAAATTCCATTATTGCTGGTGGTGATGAGCCTAGTAGTATATCCATGATAGTTTGTGGTATATGGGCTCTCTAAAATTTTATAAAAGAAAATATTTCGTATTAATTGGATTAAATAAAGTATTTTTTGTTTAAATATTCCACCTGGTTTTCAGTGAATTCCATAATGTGTTCTAAAAGAGGTTTTTTGAGGTCAGGCGCCTCTTTGAACACATCTGCCAACTGCGGTGCAGGCAGTTGGAGAAGCACCTGGAAACTGTGGGGCTGTGCTCTCTGGCAACACTTTATAAACCCTTCCCAGACCTTCTTTTGCCTCCAGACCTGTTTTAGAATCAGCCTTTGCAGTATGTTCATTACGAATCCGATAAGACGAGGATAAAGCGACAAAGCCTGGATAACAGTCCTCATGAGGAGGGTCGGCAATGGCGTCACCTCCATTAAATGCTGCATAACAACAGCCAACACCTCCTGCGTATATGCTTGTTTATCAGCAAAGCAGAGGGAAGTCGCTGTAACAAAAAAATAATTAAATAAAATCCATACGCTATGAGATTTTCTCAAAATAGTACCTTTTATTATAGCTTTTAATTCACATTTTGTCGGGTCGATTTGATGTAAAGCTATTAAAAGTTCAGACGGAGTGATCGGTGAGGCATAATTGCCTCCTTCCGTTGACGTGCAAAGCAGTCTGTTAAAAACCTTTAAAATATTCATTAATAAAAATTATATTAAACGTCATAGAGAATGGACGTACTTCTTTGACGACAATAGGGTTCAATTTGATTAATTTTGGCAAAGCGGCAATCACTTCATTTTTGCTAAGCCCATTAAGTACGGGTATGAGGAATCTAACATCCGACACTCTCGTATGGTACAGTTCTCGTACCCTATTTACAAGTTCTGCGCTAGGTGGTGCTGAATAAAAAAAATATATAAATAATATTGATAATTTTTTTAAAAATCAGAATGATAGTACATTTATCAGTCAGTATGTGAATAAGACGGGTGACAAGAGTTTCAGATCCTTTTGGACATTCTTCAACAAGTTTGAGCAATTCGGGCGAATCCATCCCCATTGCTTTCACAGGATATTCGACTACTCGTAAAATAGTACGCTTGACATCGGCGACAGTTTGAATATACACCCTCGCCAGCCTGGAGAATTAAAGAATTTATTTTTAAAAAAAAAGTTCAAATCAATTTATAAAAACAACTTACTCATGAATGAGCCCTTGGTTTATTGGCAACAATGACAAATAAAGGTAAAGACAAGCTTTTATCGAATCGTCCGTCCAGTTGTCTTGTTTTTGCGCCCGGCCTTTGCTCATGCCGAACAGTGCCTCAGGCGGGTTAAGCTGCGTCAAAAACCCGAGATAGTGTATGGCATGTTGCTCGATGACATTTTGAACTTCGTCTCTTGTATAAAGGTCAACTATGTGGCCGATCGATGCCTCACGGATCTCGGGCGTCTGATGTGACGTGTTTTCAAGAAGTACTGTCAGGAACATTCTCTGCCTGGGCGGCCTCATTAATATTATTTGGTTTATTATATTAAGACCAAGGACCTCGACTGTGCTGAACTGCTTCAAAAGTTCTGCCACTTCTTCCGTTATCAAGGGCATTTCTAAGCATATCCTTGATAATATCCTAATTAGAAATAATAATAATAAAATTAGTATTGAATTCTTTTTTTTTTTTATAAAGTTTTAAAAATTAAAATATTGATAGCCCTTACATTTCTCTCTCTTTCATTTCTTTATTATTGATTACAGAATTGATTAAAATCGTTACTAAATTGTTATAGTGACTGTTATAACAGACATCATCTTCCATTTGGTTCGGCGCCCTTTTAGAAAACCCTTGCATGAAACTGTATTCCTCGTAAATCCAACTTAGAGCAAGATTTATCTGTCCTCTCAGGTCGGACAATATAAAATTCAATATCGCTAAAATAAAATGAACATTAAAATGTATTTGTAATTAATTAAGGTTTTTAGTTGAGATAAAAAAGTCAGTGTCACGAGCAGGATTCGAACCCACGATCTTCGGCTAGATACGCCGCTGGCTCTACCACTTGAGCTATCGTGATCTCGATCCACTCGAATACCACTCGTGACACTGACTTTTTTATCTCAACTAAAAACCTTAATTAACTGAAAGATATTAATTGGTCGAGTGGACCACAAAACTAGTGAATTTAATAAGTTTAAATGAAGTATACTTCACTAAAGCTCTCTGTGGCCATTTCATTTGTCGCCGAGAATCAAATTGATTACACGACATTTGAAAAATGGCAAAAAGGAGGGAAAATTCAAAAGGTGGGGTTGAGATGTGAAGTTAGTGTCCGAGTGGATCGAGGTCACGATAGCTCAAGTGGTAGAGCAGCGGCATATCTAGCCGAAGATCGTGGGTTCGAATCCCGCTAGTGACACTGACTTTTTTATCTCAACTAAAAACCTTAATTAATTGAAAGATATTAATTGGTCAAGCAGACCACGAAACTAGTGAATTGAATGTATTTGTAATGTAAAAAAGTGTCATTACTTTCCCTGATGTTCGTCCCGAAAGATGCTGCCATCGTAGCGATAATTTTAGACCGTATGTTGCTCACTCCGCCCGATATTGAACTTTCTTCCGATTGTAGTATCCTAAGGACTGAGTCTAACAGTATAATTTCCCTCATTTCCTAAAAAAAATTGTTTAAATATTAAACAATATTCTTTTTTAAGTAAATGTACTTGTATCATACTTCTGTCAAGGGTTTGACGCCTTCTAATTTTAAACCTTTTCCGGAAGAACCCTTCGCATCATCGTCTAATCCAGTTTCATCTATTACGCCACTATTAATACAAGTATCATCATCATCATCTTCATCAGGTACTGTCCTCTGGTTGAATAAAATCACATTTTACTATTATAATAAAGACTTTGAAGACGTTTACAAATAAAAATATGCATGTTACTGAAAAAAAACTGTACCACAATTGTTTTCTGAGTTTTGGCGATCGACGCACCTGGCCCAAGCCCAGCATTGTTCAGTTGAGTCGCTAAAAGCCTCGCAACGTGCTTTATCTGACCTTGCGTTCCTGCTGCCGCAATAGGCGTATAAGTGGCGCTAAAAAGTGGTGGCATCGTCTCGGGAAGCCTGCTCTGGAAGACCATAACACATAATTTATTTTCTCCGCAAAAAAACACAAATAAAATTACCATTCCTAAAACAACTAGGTTTGCTGCTAATTCAGGAGTGAGTCTTTCAATAATAAACGACTCTGTAATGTCCACTGCTGACTCCGTGACAGCAGGCTCTACTTCCAACCTCTGTTTCTTCGCTATTGCGTCTGTCAACTGTTTCTTTGTCCGTTTTTTCAACTCCTCTATTTTCGGATAGGCTTTCATCACCTAGAATTTTCATCGTATCAATTGAACTGTAAAAATGCATTCAAATTTAATATTAACCTCGTGAGTCGTTGCACCCAAGTCAGTGAGAAGCGTTGTAATATTTGTATGAAATTCAACGGAAGAAGGGTGACGCAGAAGATTCAACAATTGCATCTTTAAATGCTTCCGAACTGAATTTACTTGTGACGTTGACAAAGTAGGAGGTAAATTCACTTTAAAAAAAAAAATTAATTAATACAAGTTTTAAAAAAATATAAAATTAAACTAACTGTGAAGTGCTTCTAAAGCATTAACAACTTTGCCCATAAAAATTGGTCTTAATTTTGCAATTGTCGTTAACGATCCCATGCAAGCGATCAAATTTGCACTGCTTATATGTTGCGATCCATGAAACTTTATCATCAAGTCAAAAAACATCCTGGAAAAGAAAAACATTATTTTTACTATATTTATAGCATAGTAGAATTTAGAATCAGTACAAGATTTAGAATATAGAACTCATTGTAAAAAAAATTACATGGCTTCTTCTTCGAGTTTTCTCCTCCTTGCTATTTTCAAAGTCATTGGAATGTCTTCTAAGGAAAACTCGTTGGTCCTTTTCAGGCTTTCGGCTTCTGGATACGTCTGAAGGAGAACGAGCATCTCTAGGAACTTGACGATCTGGGTCCTTAATCTTAAAACACAACAAACATAACACAGTTCAACATTGTATGTTATATGTTCTACTCAGAGGCAGTAGAAGAAAAAAAATACTATTTATGTAATTACAAATATTATACAAAAGATTTTTTATATTAAGTTAAGAGACATATGAACGTGCATTTTTTTGCTGTTCCTAAGCTATACAATTTTTACACTCTATCTGTTCATCCTCACTACAAGTGAACACCTACTCTACCATCTGCATTCTTACATGTTATTTGGAAATTATAACTTAGGAGTTCTAGTGTGTTTTGTCATATCCGATTACTAGCGATTAATTTTTATTTATCAAATTCTCAAATTTAAACAAAAATGGTACAAAAGTCAGATATTGTAAAATGTTTGCAGATATTAACTAAACAGATACAAAAATTTAAATAAAAATATTCAGACAGCACATCAAAAATGATTTGACATTTTTCCCTCATCTTTTTTTTTTTAATTATTATTTTATTGATCAAATTTGGTTGTCAAGTATGAGAGCCTGGTGATCTTACATTTTTTATGGAACTTCTGGTCCTCAATTAACTTTTTTATCCGACCCTTTCACACAAGGTGAAAATGCACGCGGGCAACTCGTGTACACACATACATATATTGTGGCCTAACATAAGTCTGGCAGGCCTCGAGGTACTTGCTATTCCGCTGAGGACTCGCCATCATTCAAGTGGGGAATACCCAATGCAAAACGCAATGGGGCCCGAAGCCACCTGATGCAAATCCAATATCCAATTTTCCATAAGATTGCATTACTCCCTTGCACATCTGCCTGATGCTACCCCATTCTACGCGATGCGACCAAGTTCACCATGGACCAGATTTTCATTGGGTATAGTCGAGGACAAAAGAACCGAACACTTATACAGGGTGTCCCAGTACCTTCTGACGAAACTCAGGGAATCGATTCTACTCTTCGTTTGGAGCAAAAAATGCTCAGGAGAAAATTTTCAGAAAGTTCTCTATTTTGAAGATATTCGTCAATTTAGGTTTTTTCAACTTTTCTCTACCTTACCACATAAAAACGCTTACAACTTCCAAAATGTTGAGACTACAACATGTTCCAACTGATATTGCCTAGCATTTTATGTCATTCAGATTATTGCAAATAGAAGAATCTTACAGCAAATTTAGCGTTCTTTCAAATGGTGTAATTGGATTTGTTGTAGTCTCAACATTTTGGAAATTGAGTAAAATATGTAAAACTCCTTGCTAAGGGCATGAAAGCTAACTAACCCATCATTATCACTGTCGACCATGTCAATAATAAAAGCTTTCATGTTTATCAGCACATTCCAGGTGTTGAGCATGCTCTCGGTCACTGTTTGAGCTTTCGAAAGCCACATCAACGCCAGCCTATACAGTTGAGTGACGCATTGAACAACCCTTTTTTGCACTTGCGGTGTCTTGTCCTGAAGGAGGTTCGACAAGCTGATTATAACCGAGGGGAGCAACTCGCAATCTTTCTTCCTGCAAAGGGCAAAAACGTTTTATAAACACGGTGTCGATTTGTTTTCCTTTTAACCGCATACACGATCTCTTCGATGAAACTTATCACAAATTTTCTGACGTCGGGACTCCTGTCGTTCTGGAACGCCAAGACGTCGTTTATATGTTCGTGCAGTAGGCTTGGGAATTTCAAAACCGTGTCTTGCACTTTTGACAGATGTTCCAGCTTCGTCTCTGCCTCGACGCAAAGAGAAGCTTCGTTCAGCTTGACCACGATCTGTAAAGAATCTTTTAGAATTCTAGGCTTTTTTAAATATAAAAACAGATCACCTACCGCCTTCTCGGCCTTTTTCACCTCGTCACCTTCCTCCATGAAAAACTGGGCTGCCGAGCTTCGCCTCGAATCGCCCATGTCTGATGAGAAAAACTCGACTTCCTGTACTTTTCAAAATACTAATGTTACGAGCTTTGATATTGTTTCGATAAAGGGATAAAAACTTTTACATCCATCCCTAGCCTCGGTGAGATAAAATACTGAATTTCAGAACATGTTATCCATAGAGTACATGAAATTACTTTAAGAATGGTTCAAACTATGAGGATATGGTTCGCTTTTCACCAACAGACTCAACACTGAGTAGAGCCTATTAAAAGTAACCTGCATCGTGCGAAAGGTTACAAGTAACAGCACAACCTTCAAAAATCCCTCTATTCTCCATAAATAATATAAAACAATATTAATATTATTATGGGACCATCAAAAAAATGAAATAAATAAATAAAAATATGTTTAAAAAACCCCAACATAGCCATTAAATATTATTTCAGGAAGCGTAAAATACAATTCAATTAATTAAGGTTTTTAGTTGAGATGAAAGATATTAATTGGTCAAGCGGACCAGGAAAACTAGTGAATTTAATAAGTTAAAATGAAGTATATCTTCACTAAAGCTCTCCGTGGCCATTTCATTTGTCGCCGAAAATCAAATAGATTACACATTTGAAAAATGGCAAAAAGGAGGGAAAATTCAAAAAGTGGTGTTGAGATGGGAAGTAGTGTCCGAGTGGATCGAAGCCACGATAGCTCAAGTGGTAGATCAGCGGCCTGCGGCGTATCTAGGCGAAGATCGTGGGTTCGAATCCTGCTCTGACACTGACTTTCTTATCTCAACTAAATTAAAAATACTAATTGGTCAAGCGGATCACGAAAACTAGTGAATTAAAATACAATATGTGCTTTTGCCCTAGCATTCAACATTTCAACTACAATATATTGTACGGAAGTAATTCAATTTACAAAAAAATGTTTCAATGTAGAAATATAAAATGTTTATAAGTTTAAATATAAAAAATATATCAATATAAAACCAAAAATAAGAAACAAAGAAAAAAATTACTAAACAATATTGAAAATAACAAAATAGCTTTAGATTCTCCTCGGACCCTCTTGTCATATTCCTTTTAGAAAGATATGCTGAGCTGGAGCGCCTGGGAAAAACGGTAGTAGTCTGGGTACCCGGACACGTCAGGCTGGAGGGCAACAAACGTGCAGACGAGGCAGCGAAAGCTGGGAAGTCTCGCCCTCCAGACCAAGCTACCGCAATCTGGCCCAGTGACGCTATGCGAGTATGCGAGCAGTAAAGAATGCTGTGAGAAAGTGTTGGCAGCGTCAGTGGGCCGGGTCGTCCAAGAAGCTCCTGCGAGTTAAGGGCACGACTGAACGATGGCCCCATGAGAATCTGAAACAAAATGAAAGGATCGTCCTAACTCGGTTGAGGATTGGCCATACTCATCTGACACACAGACATCTGCTTCTGGGTCAAAACCCGCGCAGGTGTCCTCCTTGTAGAGAAAGGTTGCTCAGTATCCCGGTATCCCATCTTGTCGAAGAGTGCAGTGCCTTGGCCCCCTACAGGGAGCGAGTAGGCATGAACCCCGACATAACAACGGTACTCGGGCGAGCAAGTCAGATGTTGGATCCCCTATTCCGCTTTTTAAGAGAAACGGGGGTGTTTCCTCACTTGTAGTGTATAAAACGTGAATATCTGTGTAAATAAGTGTATCTGTGTTGTGTCTTATTGTGTCATGTATTTATTTGTAAGTAAATGACTTTATTGTTGGAAGCCCCCGGGGGAAAAAAAATGTTTCATATATATATACCTAAAAAGATCACATTTATCATTGTTCTCGTAAATTTCCAAATTCATTATTCCAAATGTCATCGTAAAATAGTATAACATATTTTAAAAATATTATATAAATAATATTTTTTTTAAAACATAAAAATATGTTGATAAGTAAGTAAAAATAATAATATTTTGTGCATAATTAGTTTAATTATATTCAGTAAAAAATTTAATTGAAAGTAATATAAAATTAAATATGGAAATATATACATATTCATAACATACACATACAGAAGTGCAAGGTTAAATAATTTGTATACACACTTGACTGCAGAATGAAGAAGAAAAAGAAAATAATTAAAAATAGTAAAATTTGGAAACGCATCATTCCTTCAATAGGAGTATTTTTACTATAGTTAGTACAACGATAGGAAATATGAAAAAGACTATTATGCCCGGCCAAATGACTCGGTACAGAAAAGTTAATTTGACTAAGTAAAAAAAGGACTCAATATAGTAGTTGATTATTCTGAAAAGTGTAAATCAGGGCAAAGTCCACATGCCGCTAGAGGAAGTAAATTAATGTACTGTTCAAATTGTCTATGGTTAGTAATAGTTACTCGTATTTTATAGGCAAGAATTCTGAGAAATGTAAATAGTACCGATTGAAGTTAATATATTTTGCAGTTATACCCCCTAGGTTTCCATACAGGAGAACAGTGATCAAGCACTGATCTTACAAGCGATGAAATGAAGAATGATCAAGGCATTTGGGTTGAGATCAGAAGTGTAACGGGATAAGAAACCCAGCATTTTTAAACTATAGGATTTAATATTGTAATTTGTGGTCAAAAATAACACCAAGTTCTTTAGAAGTAGTTTTAAAAGAATGAGCAATATTATGAATAAATTAAATTCTGATATAACTAGTTTTAGTCCAGTAAAAGATCATAGAATAGGATTTATCAATATTACATTAGTTAAGTTAGTACAATTACATTAATTAAGGTTTTTAGTTTTAATAAAAAAGTGAGTGTCACGAGCGGGATTCGAACCCACGACTTTCGGCTAGATACGCCGCTGCTCTACCACTTGAGCTATCGGGACTTTAATCCACTTGGACACTAACCTCCCAACTCATCCCCACCTTTTGAATTTTCCCTCCTTTTTGCCATTTTTCAAATGTCGTGTAATCAATTTGTTTCTCGGCGACAAATGAAATGGCCATGGAGAGTTTTAGTGAAGACATACTTTATTTAACTTATTAAATTCTCTAGTTTTTGAAAGGAGGGAAAATTCAAAAGGTGGGGTTGAGATGGGAAGTTAGTGTCCAAGTGGATCGAAGTCACGATAGCTCAAGTGGTAGAGTAGCGGCGTATCTAGCCGAAAGTCGTGGGTTGACACTGATTTTTTATCTAAACTAAAAACCCTAATTAATTGGTCAAGCAGACCACGAAAACTAGAGAATTAAGAAACATGTGGTTCTTTAAAGACTAATAAAGAGCATTCAAATCAGCTTGAAGAAGTAAATGGTCATCTTTAGAGGTAATGGAGATGAAAGTTTTTAAGTCATCAAGAAAGACAAAAGGAGTTAAATATTTCAGAATAGAAGGAAGGTCATTGATGAAAATATTAAATACTATCTTTTAACCGAGACTTCATCTAAGCAGGGCTCAGTTTTAATGTACCTTTCTAATGTGATGCAGTGCTCGTATGTTTTTTCTAATATAGCATGGTAAAATCCTTTCTTAGCAGCTATCCGTGTCATTATAGAAATACAGTCGAAATTTTATATCCAGCAGTTTTGTCTGTCAGTCAGTCAAGATCTGTTTTATAGAAGAGTGGAGAAGGATGAAACCCTTGGGGAATGCCAGTAGAAACCTCTGTTATTTGAGATTGGTAGCCGCCTAGTATTTGTTCACAAGGTTTGTTAGAAAACAAGAGAAATCCAGGATAAAAACAAAAATAAAATTATAACCAAATCCAAAATATTCAGGCTAAAACTAATTTTTAAAAATTGTTTAAAACTTTATTTGTTTAAAAAATCCAATTTACAGATGTCTATTATTATTGCAATTTAGTTGGATTATTTAACCAACCAAATAAACAGGTTAATTTTTGTTATCAGCCTTTCAGCCACTGCCAGAATCCTAAAGGACAATAGGGTCTTGTGGCTCTTATTTGTTGCTACCATTGTTTATAACTAAAAAAGGTAGGTCTGTCAACTTTAAAATGTGGGACTATTGATAGATGGCCAACATTGACTTATGACTAGAAGAGCCAGAGACAACAAAGCATATTTTCTGTAATATAACTAGGAAAAGGTTATAGTACCTAATACCTAGCGAAGCCAATCTTGAGCAACTCTTACAATTCATGTCGAGATGTAACTCAACTGATGATGAGCATTTAATGCTTGAAATCTGGATTGTAAACATCAAATCTGTGAGTAGAACCAGTATTTACAAAAAAGTGAATCTAACTACTCACCTCAACTTCATTTCTATCTTGAACAATGTAAACCTAGATACCCTTGAGAAGAATTCTGTACTTTATTAAAGAAATTTAAATCTTCCAGAAAAACGATTAGAAAAGTTTTGATACAATAGGCAGAACTTTTAAGTGAAAATCCCTAAAACTCGAATTAGGAAAAACTACAGAAGATATTTTTAATTGGTTAAATTCTGGCAAAAGCATACAATTAACAAGGAACAACTATTAATGAGGGATATGAAAACAATTTAGTAAGGGTAAAAAAAAATCCACATCGAATCAATGCAAGAAAAAATGTACAAAAATAAAAATTTCCCCTTTCATTCTTTTATCACATAGCAAGTTGAAAAGTAAAGATAAAAACTATGGCGATAAGCGGTTATAAAATATATTTATGCGAGTGAAGTGTTATTGTTTAATATCTACAACGGCAAAACTTTCATATATGTACACTTTTTATATTTGTCTTTTAGAAATGAATTAAAAATAAGTAATTGCCTGAGATGATGGCCAATACACATGAATTTTCTATGGGTACGACTGGTTCTCTTGCCATGTAATCACCATATGTTAAGGTTTCTAACAGTTTTACTATAAAAAAATAAACAAATTGATAAGAAATATGCCTCAAAAAAACAAAAACAAGAGACTATCATTTAAATATTATATACATTAAATTTTTAATATTTACAAAAAAAACGTACTTTTGTACAGATCAGTAGGTAATCTAATAGAAAAACAAAACTATGAGACCGTTTATGATTTAATCACAACAGCTGTTCATTACTGCTTGCAGATAAGTCTAAAAGCCTCCAAGCGGCCCGAGGATTGAGTTCTGACGGATCCCTACACAAGACCCAAACATAATTTACTCTGAGCACTTTATTCGGGTCACCTTCCACGACGTTGCCTTTCTGATCTTGTAAACAGAGGATCTGCTGGGATGTGAAGTTAATAACAAGAACGGGCCCTTGGTCCATCACCTTTCCCATTACGAGATCGACGTTATCTATATCTAAAATCTTAGAGCAAAATCTGTATTTGAGGGATTGAGCTTGTTTGATAGGCGTAGAGAGAACATTGTACGGCCCTTCATGGCACCAGTCTTTCAAAATTTCCAAGTTGCCTTGTATCATTGCTTCCAGTATGTTTGGAATAATGTCTTTCTCGCAGTCCCTGAGAAACTGGACTTTATCGAAATTTGGGTCCAACTTGCAAATTTCCGTCAGCGTTTCTGAAAGTTCTGTTTTTTGGAATAAACCACCCATTATATCAGAGACCTTTTCGGTTAGGACTCTGGATGCTCTGATGACGGGATTATCACTCTCGTCATACTTGATTTTCCAATCAAGGACTTTATTAATGTAAGGATTGTTCTCTTTGAACTGCTGCCAACTTTGGTAGAACTTGGAGTCTTTGTGAACTTCTATTCCCAGGCTCTCTGTGTCGGGTTTCATCACCTTTGGATCTACGACTGTCTCGACTCTTCTTCTCAACTTCATAGGTGATTGGTAGACATGAGCCTGCATGCCCCCTTGGTCTAATTCCTTCTTCACTGCTGCGGCAGTTTCACTTATCTTCTGAAAAGCACCCGTCTTTCCGATTTGCTGTCCCCTTTCTGACAGGGACTCAGCCGCTCCCCTTGCAGTCTTACCAATCTCCGCTCCTATCTGACCTAAAAATAAAAAATAAATAAACCCCGTTTATTCCTTTGAATTTCGTATTTTCAAATAATTACCGGCTTTTTTCGCTATTTCAGATTTTCCAGCTTCTTCCAAAACATCAGAGACTTTGCCTTTTAAAGTGTCAAGCTTTTCTTTAAGTACTTCACTACTTTTTGATGCTTCAGATTCAACTGCATGAAACTTCATCCTAATTATTTAGGAAAAATAAATTAATCGACGTAATTTTTTTTATTAAAGATTTTTTTACCTTGCTTTTTGCAAAGCATCAGACTGTTCCAATTTTTGTGCCTCTTCCCTGAACTTCTTCAGGCTCTCCTTCATCTCCTTGTTCTTCGCCATTTCCTGTTTGACATCCTCGATGAGTTTCGAGAAGAATCCCGGCCTCCTCCCATCGCTGGTGTTCCTACAACACTTGAAGTACAACAAAGTTATTTATAAATCGGCATTAATTAGTATGATAAGCGCATACCACAGTGTGCCCGACAACGGTCTGACGGATGTATCTCGTCCTTTGGTACGCTCTGGGGTTCAAGCCTCTCCAGCAGGCCAATCTTCTGTACTGTAAGCAAAAGAAAAAACTATTAACGTGTTCTCTCTATCAATGCAATGATATAAAAGGTACAATAATTGGTTTTAAAAAAAATAATAATAATGAAGTAACACCCAAGCAAAAAATTTTCTTCATTCTACATTATAAACTGTGGTTGTTTCATGCCTCTTGTGAGGCAAGTCAAAAATTAGGAATATAGTAAAAGTTTAATTATGCTCATTAAAAAAAGCTATAGTCATCCCACAGTATTAGAAGAATATGACAGGATTGCATCAAAATTAGCCATACAGACAGTAGAACTGACCAAGTGTTATCCTTTTCATATTCAATGGATAAATCCAATTTTCTCTCTTCTTCTACTTCTCCATTGCCTTGTAATGCACAAAACGAAAAGTAGTTTCATTGTACTATACATGATCAAGTGAGTCACGTTATCAACTGAATAACTAGACAGTCATTGTAGTCATTCCGGTCATGTCCGCTGTATACGTGGCTTGTTCGGGTTGGGCGGATTTTTCGATGTGGAAACTTCTGTCGCATTCCGTCTACTGTGGCACCCAAGGAGCCGTTGGCAGGGCTAGGAGGTTGATTATACCTGAAGTTGGCCAGATATTTATAAATAACAGGGGAGCACAGCACAATAGATCTATTTAGGTTGAGGTGCAGTAGGCCTTGTGGCTGCCTCTTTTATCCCGATCCCTATCCTAGGGGGTGGAAAGTATCTGGAGGGCTCTTTGTACTACTGGCAACTCCGCTGTCAAAAAAGTAGTAGACATAAGTTTTGAATGTTTCCAAATTTATTTTCCTTGAACCACAAAAGAAAAGGGTTAGTGATAAGGAGAAACGCTCAATGATTAGGTAATGGGTGGAGAACTTTTTGTTTAAATGTAAGGAGTACAATGGGCTGATCACCAATTCCACCAGTTTATCGTCTAATCCATCTAATGGGATGTGTTCTCCACCAGTGCCATGCGGTGGTAAACAGATATGGTAGTGAAAAATACCACCAGTGCCTCTAAACAAGTAAACAATTGTGACTCATTCAATCGAGGCCTTTTCTATCTCCTAAATCAGTTCTCGCTTAGATATCATGTCGACCGGTGTAGCTAATATTACGAGTGAACGCGGCAAACCGCTGATTGTGTACATCTTCAGCATGGTTAAAAACAGTTGGATCAGAAAATCATACTGTAAGGTGCAAAACTTGTCTCACCAACACGAAGAATGCTCTGATAGGGAAATCTCCCAACAGCAACATAGTGTACGTTGTAAAAGGAAAGCAACTGAAGACCTATGCCAGCTCCTCAGTACGGTATTGACAAGTGTTCTGAGCGAAGTAGATCCAAACAGTACCCTTCTTCCGTACGACTAGAAATGTGCCAAAAGAAATTTGTACAACACATGGAGAAAACTTTTTACTACCTTTCAATTAATTAAGGTTGTTAGTTGAGATAAAAAAGTCAGTGTCACGAGCGGGATTCGAACCCACGATCTTCGGCTAGATATGCCGCTGCTCTACCACTTGAGCTATCGTGACCTCGATCCACTCGGACACTAACTTCACAACTTAGTGAAAGTACACTTCATTTAACCGCACCTTTTGAATTTTCATTTGTTGCCGAGAATCAAATTACATCAAATTAAACATTTGAAAAATGGCAAAAAGGAGGGAAATTCAAAAGGTGCGGTTGAGATAGGAAGTTAGTGTCCGAGTGGATCGAAGCCACGATAGCTCAAGTGGTAGAGCAGGGGCGTATCTAGCTGAAGGTCATGGGTTCGAATCCCGCTCGTGACACTGACTTTTTTATCTCAACTAAAAACCTTAATTAATTGAAAGATATTAATTGGTCAACTAGTGAATACTTCTTACTACTTTGCCTTCTAACCAGTGTGAAACATATGAGCTCGTACGAAGTAAACACTCCTTGCATCATCCTAATATCCATATGTTTGCTGCGGGGCTGTTGGATATCCAAAGAATAATGTACATCCAATTAACATTAGTGGAAATACTGCAAAGTTCTCAAATTCTACAGCAAGGAAGAGGCAAGTATTTTTTTACAAGAACAAGTTTTGATGTTCAAAACTAGTCACATCATCCCTCTTGATTGTCACACGAGTTTCTTGGCACTACCGCCCTACAAAATGATACTACCTAGTGAATTTTCTTTTCGTCAAGTGTTTATAAAAACACAATATGTACCTATATGTATTTTGTAATGAATTGAAAAGCAGTGGAATTTCCATCCAACCTTCATCTACATGCTAGGTGACCGGTGAAATTTACAAAACCCCCTACTAACCAGTGGAATTTACAATCACCCTTACAATGGTAGTCTGGTGATAATTCTGAACTTTTAAAATTAATTTTTGACTATTTTCGTTAATCTCTTTGTAAAAAATACGTTCCTATTTTATATTTGTAATATTATTAATAACATGCTGAATATTAGTGGTAGGTGTAAAAGTGAACGAAAAGGTTCCTCACCATGCTTCCAGTTGTGGAGATGCACAGTCAAAAAGAGTATAAATTAAAAAGCGCAATTCCTAGATTTACAGAATTTCTTTCTTTTGGCCTCTCGAACCAGTCGATTTTGTTCGTACTATCATTTTTTCAAGTCCGGTTGAAGTTGAGAAAACCCCGGCATGGGACCGTGCTCGAGACGAAATGACATGCCATGGTGATTGTGATAAAATTCTCTACCCAGATCTCCGTACAACATGTGGTGGAAGGGAAACGTTCCAAGAGGGTTTTTTTTCTCTCTCACTGCTCCGCCACCGGCAAGACTTTGAAATATGCATCAATTTGAAAATAACATTTTGGACCGCTCTCCTCCGTTTTTGTTTCTTTTCGGGCGGGTCGCTCTTTGAATTTTTGGATTTTGAAAAGCTAAAACGATTGATTTTCAATTTTGGCTTCAATTAGATCATTTGTTTTTTTGTTATATGTTCGTCTAATATGGGCGTGAAAAGCATTTGATGACGTCATTCATCCACAAATTGGTGAACAGGATTATCTCTATCAAGATATAATCCCTATTTCTATAATAATACTAGTTTTCATGATCCGGCGTTGCCCAGAAGGATAATATGAAATAGAAACTGAACATTATTAAAGATAAATAGCCCAACATGACACCACACACAAGTCTATCAAAGAACACGTTCATAACAATGGTTCGACACTGTTGTATCAACGGATATTATTTGGCATAGCCATGGGTAGCAACCTAGGCCCAATACTTGCAGACATAATTATGACACATCTATTAAACACAGTCATACCACAACTTCCTTTCACATTTCCCTTCCTCACTAAATACGTAGATGATATATTGACAGCAGTTCCCACAGATCAAATTCAAACTACATTAGATACATTTAATAGCTTTCACCCACGCCTACAATTACACATGAAATCGAAAACAACAAAAAATACCATTTTCAGATACACTCGTAATAAAACTACCAGATGGCACATTAATCACAGATTGGTATCAAAAACCAAGAAACACAGATCGCTACCTCAACTTTACATCTCACCATCCTCTTCATACAATAATAAATACGGCCAAAGGGTTACTTCACAGAATTATTACCCTACGCCATGAATCATTTCACCACAAGAACATAAAGATATACAAACAGATCCTCCATAACAATCACTACCCTAAACACGTAATCAACAGAATAATCAATAACTACAACACAACACTAACATCATCCACTAGTACTAATAATACTACAACAAATCTATCAAATATAAACAAACCAACATACATTTTCATGCCATTCATTCACGGCCTATCACATAAATTAAACACATTTCTCTCGTCCGATAACTTTAAAATAGCTTTCAAAAATTATAAAACAATTCAAACACTTTTTTCCAAAATCCCACACCAATAACAAATAAATCTGACGTAATCTACAAAATAAATTGTTTAAACTATCCAGCAACTTACATCGGTCTTATCCCAATATCTCGATAAGAGAGTAAAGCAGCATATCTATGATTGCAAAAAAAAAAAAAAAAAAAAAAAAAACAAGGAAAATCCTATAGCACTCGCTACCCACCATTTTGAACACAAACAAATTTCGACTTCAACAATACAAAAATATTACACAGAGAACAAAACAAACATAAACGTAACTTTTTAGAAATGATTTACATCAACCGAGATAAACACAGCATCAATTACAGAACAGACACATGTAAACTCAGTCGCAGCTACGCCAATATCATTCATTAATTAAATTCAATATCGATAACATACATGTATCATCACATTACACAAAACGTATAATATAACATATAAAACATTCATCACATTCCACACATCAAACATTTTTACATAGTCTAATTTTTCAACAATTTAGCTTTCCTGTTCCTATTTATCCCCGTCTATATAATCCTGAAAGGATAATCTGGCCGAACTGTTACCAGCGTATTTTCCCTTCGTCGGCTCTTTTCACCTCAAAGACTCCTTATACAAAAAATGTCTTTCTATACCGACTTCCTTCCCCACCCCTTCAAAATCCAACATATATAAACATAAAACAGCAATATCTCACTGGCACTCTCAACAGGACACGCAAGAATGGCACACTTACGCAGAAACCAAACACTTTGATCGAATATAAAAATGTATTTTTTTGCATTGTATAGATTCACTTTCTTCCACATTCTACATATATTTGTTAAATGTAAACAATGTTTGTAAATCCCAGGCCTTGAAGATGATCTCAATAAAGATCGAAACGTTGGCACGATAAAGAAAATGTTTTTCTGAAACCTACATCACACCAGACCGCATCTCACGATTTCTGAATAATTATGGACTAAAGGTCACTAATCACCACACATAATAGAAAATGTTATAACACATTATTTTGATTATACAAATTGCTATAGCTAGATAGGAACATATCTATCAATTAAATGACAACTAAATGTTTGATATCCCTGGATGTATTTAGTCAAGAAATAAAATGAAAATGTACTGTATCCAATGATATGAGTTACAAAAAAGTTATAAAAATAAATAAAAGCACACTATGGCTATGGTTGACACCCATCTGCCGGAAAAACGGGCAAAAAGTTTTTTATTATTATTTTTATTATTTTTTAATATCACATGAAACTTATTATTACTAAACTTATTTACATATTCTAACATTTTGTGCAGGGAATCTCATTAGTAACTGTAGGAAAGAAAAAGACAGACCAGTTAAATATAATTTTAAGTGAAATAAAAACATCTTTAATAGTTAAAATATGGAATCAATTCTTTCCTGTAATTCCAGGCTTCTTTAACAAAGTTTAATAAGTTGAAACACTGAAAATTATTTAATGAGACGATTGTTTATTCTTTTGTTAATGAGGACAGACGTAATTGTATCAAACTGAATTCTGCTAGAATCGGACATTCTGTTAAGAAATGGAAGGTGTCTTCTCTGCAAAGGGAACACAAGTTGAGGTAGTTATTTCTTGTTGGATTATAGTTGAGAGGAAGCAACTTACATCTAATTTTTAAAACCAGCAAGCAAACAGGACAGAGGAAATTCTGGCACTCTCAGACATATTTAATAAGTTTCCATCAAGCACAAGTTCCTTATACAATAGGAATCTGGATGACTTATGGGCCTGTGCTAGACATTTATCAATGTGAACGGTCTTGATACATTGTGTGAGTTTTATAAGCAAAACTGGCCAATCTTCGACATTATCTCGTGTAAATTCAATGTTTGGGTTAAATGCTGCATCATATCCCTCCAGGCGGAAAACCATGATGTTTTGTGGTTAATAATTTCTACTGCTGTTATTTTAGGTACCCGGTGATTGCAAATATTTAGGACCCTGTGCAGATAGGAAATATGAAGCGTTAAAAAGATGAGGTCTATCGAGGATTCCAGATAAATCATGTAGCAAGGGGTGTACGGCGGTAGACGATAAACTTTTCGAACAAAACAATGTTGAAGGGCGTGCATTATATCATACCGTCTGTAGCCCCACGCCTGACCAGCATGAGATACTACAGAGCGACACACAGTTAAAAATAGTTTGAATTTATTGTTGAAAGGTATGACATTGTGTGATATGAGTTCTGCCATATAGAATTCACAGCAAATTTAGATGTTTGGATTTTTCTTTTGAAATTAAGGTTAAGGGGGGGGGAGTGAAAATTATGCCAAGATATTTATATTTATTTATTATTTCGATGAGCTCCGCTTTGAAATTCCATTCATGGTCAGCACGTATGCCACCTCTTCTGAAAACAATCATTTTGGACTTGCTGAGATTTACTGAAAGATTCCAGTTGTCACAGTATGCCCCCATTACATCATCGTCGGTGTATAATAGAATCTTTATTATGGTCTTTCCACAGTGAATTTCATATTCCAATAATTAGGGAGATCATCCAGGAAGAGTGCAAACAATAATAGACTCAGGCTACAAGCCTGTCGAACACCCAAACCCGCCCTAAAAAAAATCTGAAATTCCTTCCCTGCCTCTGTCTGCCGATTTGAATTTTCTATCAATATATAATCCCTATTTCTATAATAATACTTATACATTATGCAGGGTGGGTGACCAAGACCTGAGGGGTTAAATGCCTGGATAGACTCGTACCCCATAAATATCTATAATAATACTAGTTTTATGACCCAGCGTTGCCCAGGGGATAATAGAAAGTGTTATAAAACATTATTTTGATTATACTAATTGCTATTGCTAGATAGGAACATATGTATAAATTAAATGACAACTAAATATTTGATATCACTGGATGTATTTAGACATTATATTACATATTTATATATTATATTAATAGGAACAAATTAATTGGTATTAAGAGATGGTTGGGCGCTACCGATTATCTCGTGAGTTGTACTGTTTTGTTAATTTACCTTGCCTTATTACCTTATTTTGTTATTTTCTATTTTCCTTTTGTAACTATTTTTCTTGCTGATACGCGAACCTTACCTCGCCTACGCGCTGACTGGTCGTGAGCACTAATCTTATCTTTTATGACTTAAACTAAAGTGAGTCCTTTTCTCTTTCTCATTTCTTTGACTTATGCCTGGCGCCCAAGTTTGTTAAAATTAATTTAGTTAGCTTTTTAAATTTATTCTTTATCCGGTTCAGGTTTTATATATATGTATATGTATATATATAATATACACGGTAGCCCCAATCGATTCCGGATGGATTTCCCCAGAAAATAAAACATTAAATATGGTTTCTGCGGAAGGACATTTCAACGCGTGCATTCCTTTACAGCTATTGCTCGATTTCGCAGAGGATTTTCAAAAGATAATTATCAATTTAAAACAAGAGTTGATACTCATACGATCTAGACAGGACGACAATTGCTACATCTCTACCTCGGATCCAGTGGAAACGGCCAAAATCGAATTGTCAAATCTTTGCTGGAAAATTCCCTATGTCTATCTAAACGAATATCAAAGGCTGGTTATGTTGAAACAGTTGAAAAAAGAAAAGGCAATATCGGTTCCGTTTAGGACCTGGGCATTGCACGATTATCCTCTACTACCGACGGCCCAGAGACAGTTGAGGACAGTCAAAACGTCGACTCAAATGGAAAAACCTCGATTTGTCATTTTGGCTTTTCAGACGAAAAGGAAAAATTTCGTGAACGCGGATTCGAGCAAATTTGACCATTGCTGTTTGACAAATGTAAAACTCTTCCTAAATTCCAAGTCGTATCCGTACGACGATTTAAACGTAAATTTCACAAATAATCAATACGGTATACTTTATTATATGTATTCAAATTTTCAAAAGAATTTCTACTCGGAACCTAATCCCTATCCGTTGCTTTCGTTGTCCCAATTCAAAGACAAAGGGGGCGTGGCCTAACTTAATTAATGTTAATTAATGATCATTTAGAGATCGTAAGATGCGCTCTGCACGATAAAGAAAATGTTTTTTTACTTACTGTGAGTAGGAACTACCTTTTTTTTAAAAAAAGGATTGAACATCGCACTCACTCTATCATTCATCATTTCTATTAAGAAAATGTTTTTCTAAACCTACATCACACCAGACCGCATCTCACTATCTCTAACTAATCATTAGATTTTATTGTTGTAATATTATTTAAGAAGTAGGATGACATTCTATCCACATCAAATGAACGAATACTCAGACCTCATTTAGTTATAAAAGATAAAGATAACTAGATAGTTATATTTAAGATAACTTGAAGATCAAGAGCCCTTTAAGTCATCAATTAATTATTCTAAATTGAATTATTCAAACTGCACATGTAAAAGTTTACAAATCAATTAAATTGTAAGAGAAGTCAAAATTGCAAGAGTCTTGGAATTTTTATAATCATGCATCCAATGTCACATTTCAAGGTTGGTATGGTGAGTGCTTGGCCGACAAAGCAAAAAAAAAAAAAAAAATCTGGTAGAAATACTACTGATGGTGTTTCATCGATCACCAGAGTAGGTATGATATAACGAGTGTTCACAATTACCACAGTTCCATATTTTGTAGGAATCTGATCGAATGGTTGAATTTCGTACACGAATCCTACTTTCAGTTCCATCAGACCAATGCGATTTCGATTGACATTGTTTAAACAACTAGCTAATTCAAAATTCAAAAACATTTTCTTTATCGTGCAGAGCGCATCTTACGATCTCTAAATGATCATTAATTAACGGTCACTAAATACTACACAAATAAAATCTAATAAATTTCTTTTTATAAATAAAGAGAAAAGACAATTATTGAGGGTTTAAATGAAATTTTAACATCTTAACCATTTGAGCCGACTTGAAGAGCTAGTAACTGAAAGGCTTTTGATCCATAATCCAAAATAAATCAATATCCATATTATATAATAATTGAAAACTGGTCAATTGACTGTTTGCAATGGAATTCATTTTGAAAAAAGAAAGACCTAGACTTTTTAAACTAATAAATGTCAAAAATGATAAATACCTTTTGGCGTGATGTCGAACCGGTGGCCGCCACGAGACAAAGAGGGCGAATGGCGGGAATATTAGTTCCCAGTCCCCTCACCAACTGATAATTAATTATACAATTTTCTCACAATTTAATTTAAATATTTAAAAATGTTTTAAAATAATATCAACCGAATATTGTAACTACTTGTTTAAAATTAAGCCCGATTTAAAAAAAATAATAATTATACTTCAGTACTTTTGGAAGATACTTGTTCAAGCTGGCAGTGATCTGATGATTCTCCGTTTATAATTTGAATAATGATTTGAGTTTAAAAATAAATAATTAATTCTTGAACATTCCGTAAATTTTTGTGCTATTATTTTTAGAAGAAAGAAGAAAAGAATGTAATATTTTTTATTTACTTGGAAGTGTCCTTGAATCACCGGCCGTTTCCCGCCATTTCCATGGACGATTCAGGCTACAATTGACGGTCGAGGCTGTTCTTTTTCACGGTGAGCTTTTATTTCGGAATATTATTATTATTTTCATTAATAAAAGTTGCTTTTACGTTGAATTCAAAGAAAAGTCGTTAATGAAATAATTTATCAATCATCAATTGATTTGTTGGATGTATTATTACAACACAGCGAGTCGGTTCAACCTCTCCGGATCGCCTGATGACTTCGATAAAATTTCATTTTCGATTACCAACAAATCCAATATTTTTTCAAGAGGAGCAAGTCGGTTTTATGATTATCAATAAATAATGAGATTATTTCAATTAATTATACTTTTTATAGACCAATGGTCATTGGTTCAAATCTTGCTCGCAACACTAAAAATGTTCAATTAATTAGGCGTTTCATCTAAGGCCTTGGTGAGATGAAAAAGTTAGTGTTAAGTGTGAGTTTCGAACCCGCATCCTTCGGCTCAATACGCCGCTGCCTTAACCTCTTGAGCTATTGGCAAATAAGTCTTGATAGATCAAGTGGTTAGAGAAGGGATGGTGTGTGTAGTGTCGAGAGCAAGTTGGGTTAGAACACAACCTTCAATACAATAATTATTCAGAAATCGTGATATGCGGTCTGGTGTGATGTAGGTTTCAGAAATTGTAATTATTGATTAATGGTCACTAATCACCACACACTTCAATTCAATACTGTGCTGCTCTAACCACTTGAAATATCGACTCATGAAGTCACAATAGCTCAGGTGGTTAGAGCAGTGGTGTACTGAGCTGAAGGTTGTGGGTCATAATGGTCAATTATGACTGCTAAACATATATGGATTAAAAAATAAAATTTGTGTTTATGGCAGTTCTAATTTATTGATCGATTTATTAATACTGGGTTTACTCACCGGTTAAGGCAGGGACATTTTCAAACAAATTGCGCAGCTTATGCTGTTGTGCAATAATTTGCCAATGAATGGCAGTGTTTGATGCATTGCACAAATGATTGACTAGTTTCAAAAATGTTTGAAATCTTTTGTACTGTTTGGGTTGTGTAGGTGCATATTGCACATTATTTTCCATTATTGACTGGTATTCTTGATGGAATCTCTTAATTGTGTGTCTTGTTTATCCATATGTGGAAATACCAGTTACCAAAGTTCTGCACAAGTATTAGAATCCATCCTCAAATAATTTTTGAAATCAAGGGGGGATGATAACTGTTGTTCTTGAATTAGGCTATCATGGCTAAGGGTCGCCCTTTTCTGTTGCCATTCCATTACCCAAATTCTGAGTTTTCTTTTTCGTTTTCTTGTAACAGTGACATCATCTAATCTTAATAATTGATGCAATAGCTATTGGGGACATGGTGGTCATACAATTCCCAATTTACAATTAAACTTTCAACAAAAATTTAATGAAATATAGGGGTGATGCGATGCTACATTGTGTGTCACTTTGTTGAACATTTGACAATGTAAGGGCTAGCTCAATTATGACTGCTAAACATATATGGATTAAAAAATAAAATTAGTGTTTATGGCAGTTCTAATTTATTGATCGATTTATTAATACTGTGTTTACTCACTGGCTAAGGCAGGGCCATCCCAATTTTCAGAACTGACCATCACAATCTGGCCTTCCATCGATGTGTTAAAAACATTATTAAATTGAAATTGGTGGACTAGCACGGCACAGAAGCACAAATGTATCAAGTTGGCAGATATAAATAGGTGAAGAGTGAATATTCCCACTTGACTAAGAGTAGGCCATCTGAGGTTGACAGACAGATACTCTATTTCATATGTAAGGCATAAAAATTTAGGCGTCACAAAGTACAGAGTAAAATTTAGAATTAATGGAAGAAAAACAGGGTCGTAATTTTCAGAATTAACCTTACAATCCAGTCCCTAGATTCTGAAAATGTGTTAAAAGATGATTTAATTGAAATAGAGTATCGATTAGCTAGGGAGGGGGCTCTAGGATGATCTGAATAGGTGAAGAGGTATCGTACTCACGTTTCTAAGAATAGGCCAAACAGGGTTGACAGATTCTGTGCTATGTCCGGCATGGAAAGTTTACCCCAGATCTTCCCTTCCCCAATTTCACTATAGCTTATCCTTTAACTAGTTTGATTTAAAAAGAAAATCTCGGTTCTCTTGAGTGAATGTAAAACTTCACCTACAGAATTCCTGGCATGGAAAAACTAATGAAGATGACACTTTGCCTATTGGTTTATCCAACTTTCCATAGGTATAAATGAAAAGAAATGATGACAGACTGTTGGTTTATAAACACAGCAGATATATCGACAAATCACAAAAGAATCAGAGCCCTAGTTGTTTATTGAAGATGTTTGAAACATGTTGAAAAAGGAGGGACAGAATTTATTACATGATAGATTATTCTAATATAGACAATATTTACAATTATTTCAATGATTATTATCAAAAACAATTATAATTGGAGCTGTTTATTTCAATCACTTTGCTCTTTCCACTAAAATTGATTTACATTGTCCAATAAATAAATCCATGATGTTATTGAATGGAGGGCATCCTTTCGGTATCTGAAATTCAAGAAGCAAAGTAAGTGAGGGTATGACATAGGATATTTGACACTTTTTTCTACTCATACCTCATCATTTATGGTTGAATTACAAGATTTAAAAAAGAAATTAACATTTCTGTTGAATATCCAATTAAAAAGTACAGGAGATTGTAGTACCAGTGAATAGTTAATTTTTATTCCTCTGCAATTTGTTAATGATACCGAATTTGAACCTAAAAGTTCCTTGATGAATTAAGACTTACCAGTGGGCTTTAAGCACAGAATGGAGGATACAATAGCTTTTAAAGGCGCACTATAATATGCACCCCAACTATACTTCTGTCAACCTTTTCAATTTTAAGAAATCATTTCAATGATTATTAACAAAAAGAATTATAATTGGAGCTGTTTATTTCAATTACATTGCTCTTTTCACTAAAATCATCATCAGAACCGATTTTTGCACCTACAACCAAAGAATTTGACAATATAAAGTTAAAGTTTTTTTATTTCATTTTGAAATAAGTTCTTTTTATATTAATAACATGTACTATATAGTATGGTTTGTAGCATTTGCTATTGTATCAATTCAGTTAAAAATGTACATTTTACTGGTTGACCAAAAGTTCATTCCTGTTGAAAGTTCAATCAAAACTTACATAAGATTTTGTAAAATTATTTATATGGAGATTCTATTTAGTATTAGTACAAGAAATCATATTCTGCCCTTTTTGTATGTTATAGTTATTATCTAATACAATTTTTCTGTAATCTGATTGTCAATGTACATTATATTTCATTTATTGTAAGTTTTATACATTTCTTGTGTTTTCTTTTCTAGATGGTGTTGTGCCATTTTTGTATCTTTTTCCTACATTTTCACAAAGGGCTATTAGTGCATTAAGTTGTTTCGTGAGTGTTGAACAGTGTGTAGTTAGCTGGTTCATTGTAGCTGTTTCAAGGAAAGGATTGTTGCCTTCAAAGGGTAAATTTCATTTATATATCTATTTATGTAAATTGTCTACTATTCTCTCATTTAATCTTAATTTTTTTCTTTTTCCAGGAAGGATTTACAAATGGTAAATCAACTCTCTCTGCTGGCAGTCAGGTTAGTGAGCATGTTAGAATTAATATTTTATTATTGCCCCAGCAGCCAATATAACCCTCTCTGTTTAATACTATCTGTCCTATCTGCAAATTTTAATACAGGTAGTGTTTCAAAAGTAAAACCTATTACCTATTACAGCACCTTCTTAGAAGGGTTAGAATTTAAAGTTCGGGTTTTCCCAACTAGATAAAGTTTTCATTTTTTGTAGTGAACTTCTTTAATACAAACGGTTTCGTGGCCTCCTGTTTTGCGAGAAGCCTAGATGGCAGGCACAGATTGACACCTCTTTCTGTCGAAATTTGTAGGTCACTTTAGGTCACTGTACAATTAATACAATTTTTTGTATTATCTCGTAAATAAGTTTTGTATGTAAATTACATTTAATTTATTGTATGCTTTACACATTTCAGTTTTCTTTTTTCAAGTGTGTTGTTCCATTTTTACATCATTGTTTTACATTTTCACAAAGTGCTATTTAAACAGTGCGTTAAGTTGTTTCGCGAGTGTTGAACAATATGTAGTTAGCCGGGTCATCGTAGCTGTTTTAAAGCGAGGATTGTTGCCTTCAGAGGGTAAATTTCATTTATATAACTTTTATTTATGTACCTTGTCTACTATTCTCTGTTTTAAACTAATTTTTTTCTTTTCACAGGAGGGATGTACAAATGGTAAATCAACTCTCTCTGCTGGCAGTCAGGTTAGTGAGCATGTTAGTATTAATATTTTATTATTGCCTCAGCAGCCAATATAATCCTCTCGGTTTAATACTATCTGCAAATTTTAATACAGGTAGTGTTCCAAAAATAAAACGTTTACCTATTACAGTATCTGCTTAGAAGAGTTAGAATAGGCACAGATTGACACCTCCCTCTGCCGAAATTTGTAGGTCACTTTAGGTCACTGTTATATAACACCATCTAGAAAAGCAGGTCGATTTACTTCGAAAAAGTCAATAAAAAATTTTTTGATTTTTTTTTCGTTTTTCTCGAAAACTACGTGTCCTATGAGCCTAATTCCTTTTCCAATCGACTCAGCAGGTCGATTTACATAAAAAAGTCAATAAATTTTTTTTCGATTTCTCGAAAACTACGTGTTCTACGAGCCTAATTCCTTTTCCAATCGACTCATTATGTCGATTTACATCGAAAAAAGTCAATAAAGTCCATAATCTGTGAGAACTCAAAAGAAAAGATAAAAGTTCCAGACTACCTAAAAAAAGTCAGCCTATCAATGTAACGATGTCAACAAACAGGGCCAAGGTCCAGATTCCTTCCAAAAAAATTATCTTAGACAATGTAATGAACACTTTTTCTAAACCTACGTCACACCAGACCGCATCTCACGATCTCCAAATAATCAGTAATGAACACTATAGCCAAGTCCGTACGTTTTTTAGTCCATAACTGAGAGAACTCAAAAGAAGGGATAAAAGTTACAGATTCCCTCCAAAAAAATTATCCTCGACAATGTAATAAACACTGTAGCCAGGTTTGTCCGTTTTTTAGTCCATAACTGAGAGAACTCAAAATGAACGATAAATGTTACAGATTCCCTCCAAAAAATTATCCTAGACAACGTAATGAACACTGGCAAAATCCGTCCTTTTTTTTAGTCCATAACTGAGAGAACTTAAAAGATAAGTTACAGCCTCCCTCCAAAATAATTATCCTTGACAATGTAATAAACACTGTGGCCCAAGTCCGTTTATTTTTTAGTCCATAACCTGAGAGAACTCAAAAGAAAAAAGTTATAGGCTCTCTCCAAAAAAAAGTCAGCGGATCAATGTAATGATATCTACACTGTTAGTCTAAATTTTCTAAAACTTTTTTGGATATTAAAGACATTGGTATAAGGTATTCATGCTGAAACTGTTTCCCTAAGAAGATTTTTCTAAGACAAAGATTGGACAAGGCAAAAAATTAATTATATATATTATTATTAATTGAAGAATTGTGGGGAGTTTGGATTGGGCGGAATTTCAAACGGAGGTCTATACAACTTATTTCACTTTTAAATACGGTCCGTCCTTACACGCATTGACTCCCGTGACGGTTTCGTGCTGTTTTATCAATTGAGAAGGTTCGTGTTTGATAAATGGCCCTTTTTAAAATCGCACCATTTCCCATCGAGTGGATTGGAGAAATAAATTGTATCTCATGGTGATCGTTAGACCCCGAACGTGCAACAGGTGATTTTTCTTCCATTTACCACTCCGACGTATACATCATTGATAAATGATCAATCGATGACCGGTATCAATCAAGGAAATGGATGAAACATCCGACATTTCTCAATAAATAGCCACGCGTACGACTGAGGGCAACGGTCTTAAAATTTAGGCCAGGATTGATAACATGTTACAATAGTCGACCTTTAAAGATAAAGAGAAGTCAGATAAAACATATTTATAAAATAACCAAATACTCTGATTCAAATATTCTAACATCGTGGTTATGGTTGTCCCTGACACACGGACCATCTCGTCTTGCTCTTGTTCGTGGTATATGGTGGTGGTTGTCTGGGTGTCGACATATAAGCCTAGATGGTAGAAGGCTAAGGTGATGATGAAAACGACAGGGTCAGTGAGTCGGACCTATAGGGAAGCTATTACTTACCAACTGATGAGTGGCCCTCGGAGGATCTGAATCGTAAAGCAGGGATCATCATCATCATTCAGATTAAGAATAAGACCATGCCAGGTTGACCCACGGACACTTCGGCATGTAAAGTTTGCTCTATGTGTCCGACTTAAGGCGTTGAACCACTTAATTCAATATTTCCCTCATATTCAAACTGAACCAGCAACCGTATGGATACATCAGTCGTACACTTCCATTTCTCGTACAATATAACAAAAATTCTAGAATTTTAATAAATTATCTATGAATGATGAAGGATTAGATCGATAACATTAAAAATAAACGGAAAATTGAAAAATTCAACTCGGTTTTTTTTGTCGACTCCAATATTTCTAAACCTTTTAGTTGGAAGTAACATAAGAAGACAGTCTTCTCGTTTGGGTTGGGATTGGATTACATTCCTTTTCACTTATCAGATTCCACTTCTGAAATTTATCACGAGAAACTTAGCAGATGGCAGGACGCAGAGATATTATACAAAACTATTTCGATTTCTCTTGATGTCTTTTTCCTCTGGTCACTCGTGTGCTTTTTTGTTTAGAACCCCTGAGGTTATAATTTATTTATATATATACTTAATTTTATTTTTAAAGAAATGTGTGGTGTTTAGTGACCGTTAGCCAATGATTATTTGGAGATCGTGAGATGGGGCTCAAATTGTTTGTTTTCTGTGTAGATGTGTCATTTTTGTGTGTCGTGTTGAGAGTGCCCACATACACAAGAATGATACATCTACACATGAAACAAACACTTTGAGCCCTGATGATGATCTCAATAAAGATCGAAACGTTGGCACGATAAAGAAAATGTTTTTCTAAAACCTACGTCACACCAGACCGCATCTCACGATCTCCAAATAATCATTTTTAAAACAGCAATATGCGTTAACACGATAAGATAGTGAAGGAGCTATCCAGTAGTAGAATTCCTAAAACATAGCTTAATTGTAATCACTTTCACTTTCTGAAGCCATGGGCTCACTGTCTCAAGTAAATTATGATTATTGCTTTTATAATCGGGTGGAAAATTGTTATGAGGATTTGAGTGGGATTGGAGGTCAGTGTGGAATAATTCGTAGTTGTATTTTGCAACTTTTTTTATACATGGAACATTTAGGTATAGATCTAGAAATTCGGAATTGTAGTGCCTGGTTTTTGGGGAGGTTGGAAGGTTTGGTTAAAGCCCACAGTTCTATGCCGTATTTTGTACTTGATGATTTTATTGTCAAAGGGGAGAATAGATCTGTTGTAATCGGTATGAGACGTGTGAAAGGGTTCTAGGTTATTTGCTTGTCTATGGAGCCCAAGGAAGCGCATGATGCTTTCAGTAGAAAGTAGGATGAGGTTATAACAGATTGGACAGAAAGTGCAGGTTATTTTTGTGTTGTTGTTGTGTTGAGCTTGATTCAAGGGAATTAGACTCCATGTATCTGGAAGGTTCGGTAAGCCATAATAAGCTCGGAATTGAAGCGTAGACGGACAGTTTCATCAGCGCTAGGATAACTGTGTCAGGCTGGGAAAGGATATCAGCAGTATACATTGAGTATGGTAAGGACCCTGAGGGACACCTGGGTCGCCTTGTACAAAAGAGATTGAGAGGACTCATACTCTTAAGTACCTTTGACCAGGTAGGATTTGCTAATAGCAAAGTTTATAGAGGTTAGGATCCTCTTGAATTCTCGAATATGACCAGGTGACAGACTTTTTCGAAGGCCTGCTCGGCATCAAGGACCCTTAACCGTGGTGTAGGGATGGGAAGGGATAACAGCAGTATATACTGAATATGGAAACAGATTCTGAGGGACACCTGGGTCGCCTTGTACAAAAGAGAATGAAAGGACCCATACTCTAAAGTACTTATGACCAGGTAGGATTTGCTAATGGGAAAGTTTGTAGAGGTTAGGATCCTCTTGAGGTCCCGACCTTGATCAGGTGCCAGACTTTATCGAAGGCCTGTTCGACATCAAGGACCCTTAACAGTGGTGTTGGGATGAAAAGGGATATCAGTAGTACATACCGAGTACAGTAAAGTCCTCTGAAGGACACCTTGATCAGCCTTGTACAAAAGAGAGTGAGTTGACGTGATTTTAAAGTACGTATTGGCCAAGTAGGACGAGGAGCAAACCCTGCTGACAGACATGAACGAAGCCTAGATATCGAGGAAGACACTCGAGAATCATCGATTCATTTCAAGATAGGATGGAATGATGCTCACAACACGATGGCACTGATGAACTATGTAATAGTGGAAACCTAAAAACCAAATTATCCCAACACCTAAAAATTTGAAGGTGATGTGGATAAGGGTTTAGATATTGGGTGGACCATAAGAAGCTTCCATGACGTCTGGATATAAGTGGTATGCCGAGTTATATTATAAAGGGTGGTTGGGAAAACTATGGTTTTTTTGGGTGAAGTAAAAGGTTTTGGGATACAGATAAAGACAGCAGAGAGAGGTGACTTATGAGGATTCTTGCACGAGTGGTAAGCTTTTTCTTCATCGGAAGAGGCCCGTGCTTACGCGTTTCTGTAGTTTTTTTTCCACCGATTTTAGAAAAATAAAAAGAAGTGAAATCAACCTACTTTGTACTGTATGATTATGGTTAAAATAGAGTTAATTAAAAACGCAGCGTGTTCTCTATTGATACGATAGCTTTCCGAGTTGGATCCACGGGTTCATTGAATAGAACTCACGAGTTAATTATTCATTCTGCTCCCACGGAATGGTTTTAAACAAACAGAATCAAAACCATATCGACGACTGGGATTATGATAAATGTTTCGTTTGTGCTTTATTGGCGTGAGAAAGCCCAGGGGAGCGGCTCAACGGCTGTTTACCTCCATTGTATGGAGATGGTCTACTTCGCGCCCACCAAACCTCTTAACTTGCAGGAAAAAAGAAGAACAAACGGCGTAAAACTGACCTAATCTCGAACGGTCTGCTTCTGACAACATGTGAAAAGTAACAACTTTTAAAAATTAAGTGTAAACGAAAGTTCTAAAGCTTTTACGCCCTAAGTTTCTTTCTCTACATTTCTCGGCTCATGAACAAACCCGTTTCTCAGATTAACTGCCATTTTTTTAATAATTATTTTTTATAATTAGTCATTCACAAATATGTTTATTATTACGAGAGGTTTGCATATTAAAAGAAAAAAGTAAAAGTTGTTAAAAAAAACTTGATTTGGACTTGGTGAAAGTGGTCCCAGGGCCTCAACGTCTGCTTGCGGACGACCGGAAACAGATTACTTATCGCCTTCAGATAAACAAAAACCATTTTCGACGTGGGCAAAAAAAAAAAAACGCCCAGCGCAGTTCGGCCCAC